AAGTGACGAAAAGGAGCCGTTGTTTTATGTATCCATGTTAAAATACATGTTAATATGTTTATCATATATGTCTGAGTAATCGTTTTCTCAGCTGACTTCCGTCAAAAAAAAAAGAAAAAAAAAACATCGTGTATTGATTGTTTTATTGAGAAAACTTTACTTCTACAGTTACTGGTACAATCAAAAGAATAAAACTACATCGCAGTTTCACCTCCCATAATTGTCCGTTCTTTTTTCCCCTGGAAACACAAATGATTAGTTCAGATTTTTTTTACAGGCCTTCGTGAAATCCATCAAGACCGACACCGTTGTAGTGAGTTACGGGAATGATGCGAAGACCGAGGAGGTTTGCCATTTCTTAGTATTTTCTTTACATTTCGTGAGTTTTGCAGGTTTCTTTTTTTCGTTATAAGAATCAAAAAAAGGTGTTTGAGTGCTCGAAAAAGTTAGTTTGACAGCTTGCAAACTCGATCTGTCATTGGGCGAACTTAGCTTCTCGATATTTGATCCCTTTTTTCGAGATTATAAAATCGGCTTCCGTTCAAATAAGGGCTTTCTGCTTGCAGCGACATAAAACACGAGGGAGGTAGGAGGGGAGGGGGAAGGGAGGGGAAAGAAGCTTATGGTACATTTGGTGGGAATTCTTCGGCACCATTGTCAAAAAAGGTACATCATTACTCACACCCTTTCTTTCGAAACCCCAGCATTTTCACCAGAATATGGGGGCATAAAATTGAGTTGAGCCAGTAACACCAGCAGTTTACGGTAGCCAAATTGGCAACTTAACCGCAACCCTACCGTAAGCACGCATTCGGTTACAGTAATTATGGGCAAATATTACCGTAACCGATCACCGTAACCTTGATCGATTGCAGGTGAAATTTGAAGACTGCCGCTTACCGCCGCGTACTACAAAAGCTGAAGTGCTTAAAGTAGGCGATATTGTCGAAGCACTGATGCAACAGGATGGGGAAGCCATTTTCGGTTGGCAGAAGGCAAAAATCAAAGAACTTAGAGTAAGATTTTTATTGGTTTTAAACTATTTTGTGTGACTCGGCCTGTGTAGGTGTATGTGCGTTTGTGTGCATGCTGGTAGTTTATGTACGTGTTTGCGTACTACTTGCTTTTCATTGCGACTTCAAGTGCTGCAGGTAGAAATACCAAAGTTTCAGCCTTGTAGCTTTTGTAGGTCTCGAGGTGGAAACTTTGTAAATATGGGTTGGAAAAATAAGTTCCAAAAAGGCTCAGCGGACAGACGAAATACCAGACTATGACGTGGCCTGACTTGTAAGCTTGGGATCACTAGTTTTTAACGAGGTTTAGGTGGGTTATGACAAAATTGAAAAGTATTGATTAGTGGTAATAAAAGTGTTGCAAAAGGAAGAAGGTGTTGTTTCAAACAGGAAATGAAATTGGAATTGCTTGCAAAAGCAAGGTGTTCTAAGATGTAGACGAAAATGCGAGATTTTCACAAGGCCGAGCAGTTGGAATACAGATTGTGGCAAGGTTTCATGAGCTGTGTTGTGGTACTTAGAGGATTCTGAATTTGTCCATTTACCCAGAACTTCGGGGAACATTACCCTAAGTGTTTCTGCTGTTGTTTCAGGGCGATTTGGCAGCAATCGAAAGTGTCGAAGGCCCGCATCGTATGGACATCGTCTCATCGGAGCACATACGCACATTGCCGGTCAAATGCACCCCGTTGAAGCAGAGCCAATTCAAGCACGCGAAGATCGCGGTGCCGGATGATTTGCGAGCCTACTTCAAGCGACCCGAATCGTACGCCGATTTCGCAGCAACCGTCAAAAGCGTTTTCGTGGAGTACGATGAAGAAAACGGCAATCTCCTTCTCTCCGTTAGTCGATTTTTTCTCTTTTTCTTGAAGCATTTGTGTCCTGGGATTCCGGAAAACCTTGTGTATGTAGTCGCCTGATCTGATTTTTACGGGTTCCATCTCTTCGAAACAGTAAGGAAAGGCCACAGAAGCCCAGACAAAATTGGCCATTCCAAGGTGGATCGACGGGAGGGTCAAAGTTCTAAAGTGGTAATTTGCGGCCGTAGCTAGGCCGCAGCATACCATATAAAGTAAGGAACTGTGCAAACTAAAATGCCATGTGTTTTAAGGCTGGATGGTAGTGAATGGTGGTGGGGAAGATAGTGTATTGTGTCTGTGATTGGTTCAGTACCGGGTATTTCTGACATTCTTACTGGTCCTCAGTGTTTGCAAACGAAAGCTAGTAACGAGTTCTGTACATATTGTCTCTGACATGAGCATAAATATGTCTTCGAATAACGTCTTCACAAGCAGCATTCGAAGTTTTTGTGTTTTCTTCTGACATACTTGCGAACAGGGGGAACAGATAGATTTCGGCCTTTGCTGGCTTCGTGTAATTAGTATATTACGAATCATCAGTTTAAAGATTTTATTTCCTTTTTTTTAACTCTTTGAAAGTACCAGTTTTTGAGATGGAGGAGCAAAATTTCAGGAATTTTTTTGCAGACATTTGAAGAGCAGGCAGTGAAGCGCGCCACAATTCTGTCCGACATGTACTTCAAGGACTCCCGACAGAAGATGCAACTACTGCAGCGCCAGGAAGTAATCTCATTTTATTCAGTTTTTTGAATTTCTTGCTTCGAGCCTTTCTTTGCCCGGCGATTCCACCTGTTAATATCTAACTGTGTTACTTTCTAGAACTTTTTAGAATTGGCACTTTTGCCCATTTAAGTTCATTTGAGTAATGTTTATACAGCTGTCACA